ACCTTCACCCCGACCCGCTGGACACTGCTGAAGCCACCCCACCCCCCGAAGGACCCTTGCTTTGTTGGGCCCTTGCTTCTGCCTGAGAGTTGACCACCCATGAGCTCTCCCCAGCATGCTGAAGCGAGCAGGGGAGGGTGGCAAGAAGAGACGGAAAGTCAATAACTAACGTGGACATGTCTAAAGAAGCAGGGGTGGGGGCTGGAGTCTTATGCGATACCTTCCGAACTTCAAATCCTGGTAATTAACCGAAAGTTGCCACAACATCACGGGAACAAAAAGCACCACCGGTTTGCACCGTCTAAGTGGGATTTCAACAAGCAGGATGGGTGCGGGAGGGCAGTCCAGCCCACGGATGGGAGGCTGCGGTCGGAAGGCAGGGAGTGGTTTATAAAGGCGGGAGTCCGGGTTGGGGGGGGGGGAGGAGGGAGGTCTCTGAGCAGCAGGCTGAGAAGCCAGGTTTTCCCTCGAAAGGCGGGCGGTAGGGAGCTAGGGGCAGGTTGGGCACGGTGAGCTGAGTGATGGAGATGGCGTGTGGCCTTGGAGGCCTGCCTCCCGTGCCCCTGGGCCCGGCCGAGCCTCCTACCGCCCCCCCCCCACCCCCCCAGCGGTACCTGGATGAGGCCGAGCGGGAGAAGCAGCAGTACATGAAGGAGCTACGCGCCTACCAGCAGTCAGAAGCCTACAAGATGTGCACGGAGAAGCTTCAGGAAAAGAAGATCAAGAAAGGTGCGAGGGGACCCAGCCCGCCAGGCAGCTGGGTCCGGGCTCTGAGTCAGGCGCCCCGGGCAGACCGCCCCGCCCTCCATGGGGCTCTCGTCCCATCAAGACGAGAGACCCCCTAACCAGACAGCTGTGAGCGAGCAGGGCCGGGCGATGCGGACGTGGGGGTACGCAGACACAGGGGGGCCCAGGCAGGAGCCTGTCCCAGGATGAGTAAGGCTAACGCGGGGAGGGGAGGAGGGGATCCCAGGCAGCGGGAACGGCACTTGCAAAGCAATGGGGGGGGGGGGGGGGGGGGGCGCAGGGCCCCCCCCCGCCGGCCCCCCCCCCCCCCCCCCCCCCCCAGGAGGCGCCGGGCGCCCCCCCGGTCCGAAGAGACCTGCCAGGCTGATCCTGCCCTCCTCCCTCCCCAACTAGAAGACTCGGGCTCTGGGCTCATGAATACCCTCTTGAACGGACACAAGGTAAGTGCCCCTCCTCCAAGGACAGTGCCTGGGCAAGAAAGGTCTGGAGGTCTTTAGACCCCTGGGTGAGCCAGAACCAACCGCTCACACTCACCGGAGGAAGCGAGTGTCCCGCCTCCAGGCAGAGGTGGGACAGCCACATCCTGGGAATGTTGTTACCCAGATGGCCAGAGGAATCCCTCCCAAGCTTCAGGCACGTCCCAGAGGGGTTTTGGCTGCCCTCTCCCCCAAAATCGTCACCTTGTCCTGTCATCCCAGGGTGGGGACTGTGATGGCTTCTCCACCTTCGACGTCCCCATCTTCACTGAAGAGTTCTTGGACCAAAACAAAGGTGAGCACTGAGCAGGGGTTCTTGGGGAAGGGGGTGTTGGGAGAGTGGGTGGGCCCAGGCGGGAGGTAGCAGGCCCCCGCGGGGTGGGGGGGTGGGGTGGGGGGGAAATCTACCTCTCCAAGCCGAGGTGCCTACGTCCCGCAGCCCCCACCCCCGGAGCTGAGGTGTGGGGCTGGAGGCAGAGCAGTGACAGACGGCCAGGCAGGGGGGACACAGCTAAGGCAAAGGCCCGGCAGAGGGAAGGGAGGTAGCGCCAGGCTCTGACCCGGCTCCCCCACGCCGCAGCGCGGGAGGCAGAGCTGCGGCGCCTGCGCAAGATGAACGTGGCCTTCGAGGAGCAGAACGCCGTGCTGCAGAGGCACACGCAGAGCATGAGCAGCGCGCGCGAGCGCCTGGAGCAAGAGCTGGCGCTGGAGGAGCGGCGGACGCTGGCGCTGCAGCAGCAGCTCCAGGCCGTGCGCCAGGCGCTCACCGCCAGCTTCGCCTCGCTGCCTGTGCCGGGTGCGGAGGCCCCGCCCCGCCCCCGGCCCCGCCCCCGGCCCCGCCCCGCCCCCCCCCCCCCCCCCCCTGACGACCGGAAGACCCCCCCCCCGCCCCCCCTCCTGGCCCCCCCCCCCCCGGCCCACCTGGCCCACACCGTTTATCCTCCGAACCCCCCCCCCTCCGGCCCCCCCCCCTGGTCCCACTGGCACCGCCCCCAACTGCTTCGGGCCTGGAGCCCCGCCCCCGCGACCCGCCAACCCCGCCCCCGGCCGTTCAACTCCGGCTCCGAAGGACCCCTCCCCTTCCCGAGCAAAGCACGCGCCCACCGTCCCCCTCGTCTCCGGCCTTCCACGCTTTGGCCTGAGTTGACCTCGGTTACCTCCTCGCCAATTTGTCCCCGCCTCCCCCACCGCGACCTCGCCCCCACCACTTTCCATTTTCTGACCCCTTCCCTCAGCCGACCTGGATCTTTCTGGGTCTAGACGTCTTGATCCCCCACCCGACCCCACTGACGCGCCGCGCCCTTGCAGACCCCCCCCCCCATTCTCTGACCTCCGCTTCCGGGGATCCCCGCCTGCGTGGACTGCCGCGCTGGGCTCCCGTGACCAGTCCCTTCTCTCCAGGCACGGGCGAGACGCCCACTCTCGGCACCCTGGACTTCTACATGGCTCGGCTGCACGGCGCCATCGAGCGCGACCCCGCCCAGCACGAGAAGCTGATCGTCCGCATCAAGGAGATCCTGGCCCAGGTCGCCAGGTGTGTGCCGGGGCGAGTCCCGGGGCTCTGCTCAGTCCAGGGGGGGCTGTCCGGCCTGGGGCTTGGGGGGCTGCCTGGGGCTAGACGTGCCTTGGCGGGCCCCGTGGCAATGACTGGATCTCACCCTCCACCGTGGTTCCCGGAGTCTGTGGGCGCTGCCGGGTGGGATCCGGCCGTGGGATCTTATTCCGAGGCCACCGCCCACAAGGGAAGCTACCAGGTGGGGCTTGTTCGGTGCCAGGGGCCGGTGGTCGGACCACTGTGGGGCGCTGATGAGACCGGGTAGCTTCTTCGCACTGCCGGGTGGGATATGCCCGTCCCTCTTGGCCAATGAGATCCACTGGGGGGGGGGGAGGGGAGCCTAGGACTTTCTACAGCCGCGCTGCTCGGTGGGCTTTTCGGGGTGGCTCCCAGCCGCCTGGATTAGGTGGGATCGACCCCAGGCCCCCTTCGTGGCATCTGTTTGGAAGTGCTGAGGGTTGGCGGCTGGCCTGTAGTGACCCCTGGCATGGGAGTCGGGGCTGATAAATGGTGGGGGGCCCCATCACGAGTCCCCGCCCCCCCTCTTTCCCGTCACAGCGAGCACCTATGAGGGTATCCGCCGCCCCATGGATCCAGAGAAGACCAAGCTCTGGTCACGGCCCCTTCTCCCCACCATGGAGGAGGATTGGGGGTCCACCTTTTGGGGCCGTGCCCAATCCTGCACCTTGGGGGCTCCAGCCCCCCTCAAATTAAATTTCTACAGCCTCCCTCTAGCTTTCAACTTCCCCAGCACCCCGAACCCAGAAAACCACCTGCTGTACGAGGCACATCTAGAACCCAGAGCCCCGAGGCCCAGCAAGGCCTGCTCACCTTGCACGTCACACTACAGGGACATGGGGACACCACACACGGGCCGCGTAGCCCAGGACACGGTGGGGGGGGCCCACGGCAGCTTGCACATCCAATGTGGGGAGGGATGTACCTACTATACCGGGTCTTGAGGACCGAGCCCTGGGACACAGGAGAGAGAAAAACCCACAGCTGACACACTGGGACTCCCAGCAGGTGCTCCCCACAAGCGCCCCCACGTGGGCGCGCAGCAGGGACAAGCCTATACTCCAGGCGGGGCCCCCTGCCTGTCACCCCCAGATTCCTGCACCCCAGCGCCGGGGAGGCTGGTACCGGCCAGCCCTCCCTCATCCAGCTGAGGGGCCCATGTGGAGGCAGCCTCTGCCTTTGCTCAATCGGGACTTTTTAAATAAAAAGTGGAATTTGAATTCCAGGTTTGTGGATTTTGCGTGTATGTGTGTGTTGGGGGGCAGAGGTGGGCTAGAAGACGCGGCCCCCAGGACGCCCCCGTGCGTGTTCCGGACCTGCCCTCCCCCAGCGCCTGGCAACCCCACCGACCCACTGAACTGTCTGGATTTGCCTGTTCTGGACGTTTCTCACACATGGGGTCACGTGCTCTGCGGCCTTTTGGGTCCGGTTCCCTCCCCGAGCGTCCACAGGGCAGCGGGCCTCCTGCTCGCCGCTGAATAACATCCCGGCGTGTGGACGGAGCCCCCACGGTTGTCCATTCACCCGCTGATGGGCATTTGGGTTGTTTCCGCCCTTTGGCGGTTGTGAATCCTGCCGCGACCGTGTGCCTTCGGGCGTCTGAACGCCTGCCTGCCGTCGCGCGGGGCTTCTCCCCGGGAGTCAAGCTGCTGGCTCACGTGGTGATTCTGTGCCCGACTCACTGAGCGATCGTCTCCGAGACCGCTCGCGTCACGGAATATTGAAGGCATCTCGAAACTTCGGGAGGAGCATTTGACCAAACACCGGTATCGTGGATCGAATCGTGTTCCCTCAAAAACTATGCTGGAGCCCTCACCCCGGGCCCTGAGCATGTGACCTTATTTGGAAATAGGGTCGTTGCAGATATAATTAGTCAGGGTGAGGTCATCCTGGAGCAGGGTGGACCCCTGAGCCAATATGACTGGTATCCTTATAAGAAGATGAAGATTCGGACACAGACTTGGGAGACGGCCACGTGACCACCGAGGCAGAAATGGGAAAAATACAGCTGCCAAAAAGTGCTGGAAAGGTCCGGCCACCACCAGAAGCTGGGGCACAGGGGAGGGCTCTGCTGAGGTCTGTGGGGGACTGGCGGGGGGCGGGGGGGAGAGCGTGGTCCTCGCCCATAAACTGATTTCACACTTCGGGCCCCGGAAGGGAGAGAGTACATCCCTGTTAAGCCACCCAGCTCGTGGTGCTTTGCTATGGCGGCCCCGGGAGACCGACACAACCAGATAACGTCACCTCCCCAGCCCAGGTCCCTGGTCCCACCTCCTCTTGGCCCAGGTACGGCCACCCGGAATTTGCAGTCTGCCGGGCGGTTCTTTGCTCTACTGTTAGCCCCTAAGTATATCTTCCGAAAAGAGTACCGTTTTGGGGAGGGGGGGGTTTCCTCGGTTTTTCAAGGTTTCAGAGTGTGCAATTCTGTGGTTTCTCGTGCGTTTACAGAGTTGTGCAATCAGCAGCACGCTGTAACTCAAAAACATTTCCGTCACCCCAGAGAAACCCTGGGGCGCCTGGGTGGCTCAGTGGGTTGAGTGCCCGACCTCGGCTCGGGTCATGATCTCACTGCTGGTGAGTTTCGGGCCCCACGTCGGGCTCTGTGCCGACAGCTCCGGGCCCGGAGCCTGCTTCGGATTCTGTGTCTCCCTCTCTCTCCGCCCCTCCCCTGCTTGCGCTCTGGCTCTCCAAATAAATAAATAAATAAACATTAAAAAAAAAAAAAAAGAAAGAAAGAAACCCTGTACCCCTCAGCAGTCACCACCCCCCTCCCACCTCCCGCAGCCCCTGGCAGAAACAAGTCCACTTTTTGCCTGTGGATTTGTCTGTTGTGGTCATTTCACGTCAATGGAATCACACACTATGCGGCCTTTTGTGCCTGGTTCTCTCACTGAGTGTTGTGAGGTTGTTGTTGTTTTTAATTTTTTAAAAATGTTTTATTCTTTTAATTATTCTTTTAACGTTTATTTTCGAGAGAGAGAGACAGACAGACAGAACGTGAGCGGGGGAGGGGCAGAGAGCGAGGGAGACAGAATCCAGAACGGGCTCCAGGTTCTGAGCTGTCAGCACAGAGCCCCGCACGGGGCTCGAACCCGGGAACCGTGAGATCGTGACCTGAGCCAAAGCCAGACGCTCAGCCGACTGAGCCACCTGTAACCTGGAGGTCCCTTCATTTCTTCGCCAAAGACTGCTTGAAGGCCTGCTGCGGGCCCAGGCACTGGGCACCCGGGATATGGCTGGGAAAAAAGAGGTCAGAGCAGCCGGCCTCCCGTAGCTGACGCTCCAGTTGTGGGGACGGCCAGCTGGTGTGGCAGCTGGTGCTCAACACCAGGGGGAAGACTCTGGGGAAAGAGATTGTGAGGTGGAAGGAGGAGGCACTATTTGATCAAGTGGCAGAGGAAGGTGAGGGGGGGAACCAGTGGGTGACTGAGAGATGGCATTCCAGGCAGTAGGAACAGCGTGTGCAAAGGCCCCGGGGTAGGACCGGGCCTGGCCCATTGGAGGAAAGGCGGGGGGGGGGGGGGGCCGCTGGTGGCGGGTGCGTGGGGGGGGGGGGGCGACCGGGAGGAGGGGAGGGCGGGAAGGAGTCGGGGCGGTCCTGCAGG